TTGCCTGCCCAAAGAGAAGCTGTTTTCTTAGCACAATGAGGTGAGAATGGTTAATGCTGTGGTTTTGTCACTGCCCTGGGACTGCTGGATCTTGGGCATTTGTATCATTTTTTACTAGATTTGACAAAACTCATGTATCAGAGGGAAAACTTCAGAGCTGCTTCCCTTCATCACCCTGGGCAAGCAGACAGGTCTGTACCCTGCTGCCCTGTACCTGCTGCCCCACAGTCATTCCAGCAGGAATCCCTCCCTCCCAAAATGTCATGAGGTGCCCAAGTGCAGTAAGCACATAGACATTGATGCTTTTTACTTGGAATACTTTTATTTGAAAAATGATTCTGTTCTCTGTATCATATTTTGTTTTGGACACATTAAGCATTCTCAACCTTTGGAAAAGTGTACAAATCTCTTTCCAACATCCCTGCACAATAAAGCAAGAAGGAACATTTGTAGTTTAAGAGGACAGTCCTATTTTCTTCATGAAAATCAAATGTGGAATTTTTTTTTTTCCTTTGCCAAACCCATGTGATGGAATCCTGCAGAAATGGGATATTGTGTCTGCCAAGGAGCCAAGGAAATGTGCAAAACTTAGGAAAAGAGTGTGAATCAGTGCCTGGTGGTTTAGGGCCATACCTCCTTCATCCTCTTCTTACTAGTAGGCCATTCTCTCTTTTTTATTCTCTCTTTTTTGGTCTGCTGTGGCTGTGCCCAAACAGCTTGATTGCAAATTCATCCACAGAACAGTTCAGAGTTAAAACCGCCTTCTTTTTGCTGCCACTGATAATCGTATGCCACCATCAGCAAAATTGCCACCTGTAATCAGATCTGTAAGAGCACAGATGGCTTCCAAATGCACTAATTCAGTACCAGAGCTGTGATTTTAGCAGCAATTGCTTCTTAGCATTTTGCACCTGGAATTTTTACTAATTTTCATATTTATCAAACAGCTGTAAATTGAGACCTCCAGCTTGCAGGTACTTGTGATCTAAAGAAGTTTGAGGATGATTACACTCCAATTTCAACAGAGGCTTCCCCCGATTCAGTTGAAATTCAGTTTCAGTTAGGGTCTGGTCCTCAGAGGATTTCAGTGCTTTGTCAATCACATATTTAATTGGTGACTTGTGGCTTTTGGATTTCAATGCTTTCTTTTTTTTTTTTTTTTTAATTTCCCTTGTTCTGTCTACTTGTTGGTGACCTGAAAAAGAGCAAGCTCTGCCTGCTTATATGGTGGACTTGAAGTGAGTCCAGGCCATAACACTCATGTTTGGGATATGCAATCCAAAAGAGAATTCCTGACTTCCAGAAAGCAGGATTTTTTCCATGTTCTGACCTTTAGCAATCTGCACCAGTGAACAGAGCCATGTCCCAGGCAGCTGGTGGGAAGGCTCTTGCCTCTTTCACAGTCTGCATCTGATGTGGGGAGGGGGGCCCTGGCAGACCTCACCCTCCTGTGCCCCAAAAACAAGGTTTTCCCACTGAGGTGATACAGATCTTCTCTCTGCTGAGAAGTTTGGAAATTTCTTGTGGTTGGAAACAAAGGATTTAGCTGGAAAGAAAGGATTCCATGCTGGCTTGACTGTTTGTCTCCTTCAGGAGTGCTCAATAGCTGTCATGTGACAGGAGGTGATGAGAAAGAGTGTTGGTCAGGTTTCTGAGGCAGTCTCATTATTCATGTAGTCCTCTAGCCACAGGGAAATTATGAAGGATTTAAGGCTAGTGGGCTGAGTTTGGTAGAAGTTTCTTTCCTACTCATTTTAAAAGAGGTGAGGAGGGAGAGGGAAAAGATTTAAGAGAAGAAACAATGGAAACAAGAATCTGTCCAGGAACAGAAGCAGATTCTGGTGGAAAAAAAGATGAAGTTGTGTTGAGACAGAAGCACTGAGAGATAAGCAGGCACATGTGTGTTAGGAAGGATAAAATTTACATGTGAATCCTTGTTTCTCAATCTGATGGTTATGTTTTATAAATCATACATATACTTAATTCCATAGCACACATTTAATTCTTCAATAAAGCATAGTTAAAACCAGAAACATTATGATTTTTAGTGAGAATATGAACAGCTTCATTCAGGGGTGGAAAGCTTTATATACTGCTAAATGACCTATATAATAAAAAATTATAAGAACTGTAATTGCTTGTCTTTCTCCAAACTAGTGTTTGCATTAAGCATTTTCAACAAAATAAGTGAAATAATATACAGGGTGAACCATAGTTCTGGATTGTCTTGTGTATATGTTGCTCATGTAATAATTAAAAGGGAGAAAATCAAGTTTTTATTAGATTTCTTAGAAAGGCATTTGAAGAAGAAAATGTAATGTGATGCATGAGGCTATTCTTCAAAATGGGGAGAACAGGAGGAAGAGTGGAGCCTCTTTCTGTTTCCCAGAGTTCCAAGAATTCACGGCTGAAACAGTCAATGTTAATATTTTTCATATGAGGCTCAGTCTCACCATGCTGGAGGTGTTTGTCCCTCCACAGCAAACAGCCAGAATTGGGAATATTCAGGTGGATTGTCTCAGATGGTGTTGACTTCAGGTGGGTTGACTCAGGCCTGGCTGAGCCCAGGTGCTGAAGGACTTATTGGAGGAGGGTCAGGATGAAGAAACAGATGCTGTCTGGGCTGGAATTCCTATTCATTTTGTTTGGTCACCTGCAGAAACCCTATGACAACGTGCTTGCAGCTGAGAGCCTTGTCATAAGATCAGCTGTGACAAATGCAACACCTGGTTTCCCATCGTGAGAGCTGATGTTGGTTACTTCTGTGTCATTTTTAGTTGCTGCTGTGGATTTCCTTTCTTTTTTTTTCAAAGTATCTTTAAATGAGACAGAAGAAGTGTCTGGTTAGCTAACACAAGTTAAACAGCCAGCTGAAATTTCCTTCCTTTGCCAGAGCACTTAGAGCTCTCTTTGTGCACTCTTAAGATTTTATCCAGACAGATCATGGCTTTTTCAGTCCTGGTGATGTCTGACAGTTGGATCTGGTTAATACCTCTGTCCTTAATGAGTTATTAAAGTGAGCAGCATCATTAAAAATTTATTTTAGGCCTTTTCCAGATCTTTTACTTATGAGACAACAGTGGCTACTGCTGCCAAAAATGGTTTTGCTGTTGCTGAGTTGTGGCAGGACAGGGCTTGTGCACGTTGTGCCTCTGTGGTACCCCACACATGCTGACTCTGTGGCAGGGACATCCTGTGAGCAAATAAATTACAGCATTCAAATCACTCTAAGGCATAGTGTCCTAAAAATTGACTTCATTCTTACTTGCAAATCACCTCCTCATGTGTTTTGCAGGCATACAGTAGAGCACAACTAGTGAAGTCAAATAGCCAGATTGTTGTGTTGTTTCTTAAGCTTAAAGAAAGGAAACTTGTTGTGAATAGGATATGCTTATTGTCAGAAAATGAAGATCCATAAAAAATGAGCCAGCAGCTGAAAGCAGATACCTTGGGGAGGAGATGGGGGCAGACTGGTTCTCTCCAGGGCTTTCACCATTTTCTGCTCAAGAGTTTCCTGAGCAGAGTCGGTTTCTATTTGTTCACTGAACTTCGATGGATTTAAAGTTGTCAAGGCTCTCTTGAAGCTGTGTAAACTTTTTCCCTTAGCAGTATTCCTTGGAAAGGAGTCCCACCACTTAGTTACATGTTAAGAACCACTTTGTTAGGAACTTGCTACCAGTCAGTGCATCCAGATCTTGTCGTTCCTCATTTTCCTCTTCTCTTGGGTATAATCTTACCCAAGAATCCATCTTCATTATAAAGTTTGCACAATAATCTATCCAACAAACATCTTAGTTTGCTCTTAGCTTTTGGAATCAAATTTCCAAAGTAATTTCATGTCATATATAAGGTAAACATTTTTGAAAAGTCCTAAAACCTCTCTCCTCCAAAATTACAATTTTTATTGTAAATGGAACTTACTAATTTTTTTTATTTTTTTTTTTTTAAGAGAGAGTACTCACTGGACCAATTCCAGACCACAGGAAAATTTTGGAGGTATAACTAATACTGTAACCTGTGTTCCTTGTCATAGGAACATAGGATAAGTATTGGGATAGTGAACTAAATTACAAAATAAACACTTTTTTTTCTTTTTGGTATTTCAGTTAAGTACTTCCATTTGATATACTTTACATTTCTCATGTTCTGTGTCCCGTACAGCTGCAAAATATTTTGCACTCTGGAAATCCTCAGTATCACATGTTGTCTTAGGTTACTACAGTCCAGGGCAAAGTAAATAGGAAAATCAGAATGAATCTTTTCTTGTCAACCCTTTTCAGCTGTGTACACTCAATTAACATCTCCAGGCTTCCTCTTGCCTTTTCACTTGCTACCCATTTTGATAGAACTTTTAAAATCAAAGTCTTAATGTCATTAAGTCACATTTCTACCCCAAATTCTCACTTGTGCTACTGTTGAATATTAAGACAGTCAGCCTTTTCTGCTTGAAGTGTTGTGTTTCTCACATTCCTGCCTTGTGAATTTAGCAGCTATTTATTTCAGATATTGTTTTTTTATTTCATCCTATTCTATTACACCTGCTTCTTTTCATTCACTATTTTGTCTGTTAAGTCCACTTTTATTAAAGTAATTGTGCCACCACATATTTTAATGCAAATTTTATGCAGACTGCCTAGATAATGCTGAAGATGGTGACTGAGATAAGTAATGTTTTGCTAATCTCCAAAATATAGAATGAATAGGGAAAAATCCCAGTGTTGATGAGGAGTGGTTGATACTAGAAAGCTGTGTCCCTGTTGAACCAAAGCATTTAAAGCATTATCTGAAACTGCATTGTAACTGGAATGCTCTATTGGCCAGGGGGGGAACAATTGACTTAATAGCATGAACTCGGATGAAATGTGCTGAACTGGGGACACTGTTAAATTGACTTTCCTCACTGAAACAAAAGCTCCAGTGCCTGCTTTTACACTGTGTCAGTGATTGAGAGAGCTAATGAAAACACTCTTCTTGCTGTATGATTTTTGTTTTCTCTCCAGGGATGAGTTTACCTTGGTTCAATATGTATTATTTAACAGTGGAGAGAGGCATCCTGATGTTCAATTCAGAGATGAGGATGAACTAGGATGTTGCAATAACTTACAATGCAGAATGCAAGGTAGGCTCAATAAAAATGAACATTTAAAGTTTTATCTCAACAGGAAATAAGTTTTATTTAAATTTCAGGCTTTTTTTTTCTTAGTTTCACTTAGAGAAAACCCTCTATGGTAATTTTTAGGAGTGTTAAATTTCAAATAAGCACATTGATCTTGAAACACTCAATAAAGTCAATAGAACCATTTCTGGTGACAAATGCACATCTGTCATTTTCTGCACAATAGTCACTGACATATAATCTATTTTGTTACCTTACCAAAAAAATGCAGCCAACAAACTAAGTAGAAATAGATATCATAATAGTTTTAAAAGAAACAACTTAAAATTGGTCTTAATGCAATTATTATATGTTTAGCCGAAATTCCATGTTTATTTCTATTTCCTTTTCACTTCAGAAGGCTGAGTTTCTTGCTATCATTGGTTCTGCTCCCTCACTTGGACTTGGCCAGGACTTGGGTTGTGCAATGTTGCTGAGTCAGCCAATTTGTATAAACCATTTACCTGCCTCTGAGCTGTGTAAGGCTTGCTTTGATTGCATTCAAGATTCACACACTCTTAACCTAGCACACTTCACCATGCCCTTGAAATACAGCAGCTTTATCCTTTACTGAGGCACAGAGAGATTAAGTCCAAAGTCATTCACAGTCTGTAGCAAAACAGGGTATCAAAATCCAGTCTAAATCCAAGGGCACTGGATCCTTTTACATCAAGAACGAAGAGTTGACACATTTTTACCCAATATAAATAAATGTATTAAAAGCTGAGCTGTCATTTTAATGGGAGATTGATTTATGTGTTAACTAAATACATAAGAATTTATGTCTGGGGAAAGGCAACTTGAGGGGACCTTATCACTCTCTACACCTACCTGAAAGGAGGTTGTAGCCAGATGGGAGATTGTCTCTTCTCCCAGGTAACAAGTGACAGAAGGAGATGAATGGCCTCAAAATTGCACCAGAGGAGGTTTAGATTGGATATTAGGAAAAATTGCTATGCAGAAAGAGTTGTCGAGGACATGGTGCTCAGGGAAGTGGTGGAGTATGAAGGTATTTTAAAGATGTGACACATAGGAGCATGGTTTGTTTGCTGGTGGACTTGGCAGTGCTGGGTTAATAGTTGAACTTCATGATCTTGATGGTCTTTTCCAACCTAAATGATTCTGTGATTCAGAATAGATGTAGTGCTCGTGAAAGGTGGCATACTGATTCCCTGGGACATGCAGGAGTCCTATATTCATTAGCAGACACAATAACTTGCACTGATCTAGCTACTGAAAGTTTGTATGGACTTGAAAGAGATACTTTTCTATAGAAATTAGAGTTCACAGTCTGTATTTTCATCCTTTGGTTGCCTGAATGCTTAGACCACTAAGCATTCATGGAGGAAACATGTTACTGGATTCCTTATGAGATTCCAAGTACTTACCTGCTGCTCCATTTTCCCATTTCTCAAATCAGAGTTTCCTCTCTTCCATTGTTGCCTCTGTCTGCCCCGTAATGCCCCAGGGGCATTTCATTCCCTCTGGAGACCTGCAATGCTGTTAATCATTTTCCACAGCTCCTGGCAACTGGCTGGACAGGAGGCAGTGCTTGCTGCAGCTCACTTGGGTCTAGGGATGTGCTCATTTTAACCAACACATCTGTGCTGACTTAGGCAGAATCACTTGACTCTCTTTTTGTTATGAAAATTTAAATGACTTTCTGATTTATTGTTGAAAATGCATTCTATTATCAACATATAAATTTAATACATTCTCTTCTTTATACTATTTTGGTATAGATGCAATATTAAGGGTACTGTTATCTCTAGTTTAAAATTATGTACTCTTTGCAATTCTTCAACATCTTTCTGTACACATTAATTTTAAATATGTGTCTTTGCTGCCCTTGCCATTACTCTAAACACAGTCCCCATGAGGGTAACATCACTACTCTAGTCATCCTGTCATTTGGGTTTATGCCAGTGTTATCTGAAATTACTTATGGACTTTCAAAGGGATGTTGTTTCCATCTTCTTATCAGGGCCTTGGTCCTGTCTCATTAATGATAATAGTAGTCCCATTTTCTTTATTATTTTACAATAATATGTGGTATTCATACAATAATTCATGGGTTAAGATGTCAGTATAGACACGTGCATTTAGGAACAGATCTTTAGGCTGTTTAAATGGTTTGTGTTCCATCAGACTAAGATGGTAGTTGAAGAATTTTTTTGCTTGCAGTTGCTGTGTGTTTGTGTCCAGGTTTTTTGCTCAGTGATTATACTGTGGCATTCAGGAGAATTTTTTGCCAACAGAAATGTCAGTTTCATGTCTGAAGCCCTTGCTCAGTATCAACTAAGAGCTGTTTCTTTGAGCAGTCCTTTTGAAATCCACTGCTTCCTGATGATTAAGTTGCACTTTGCTATGTAGAGCTGAAACTAAATCCAAATGATCCAAATTAGCTGCATGGACTGAAGATGTACACACCAACTTAAAAGAGAATTTGGATATATGTGCACAGCCCCAAGCAGGGGGAGCTGGCATGACTATGTGCCACTTCATTTATGCAGTGAACACTGGGTCAAGTCAGAGAGACTCCTTTGGCTTTCTGTAGCACAGGTACAGGCAGACCAAGCTAGAAGCTTCCTGTGAAAGCCTGGAAATGTATCTTTTGTTTGAATTAGCCTGAGAGTTACCTGAATGCTAAAGAGGTTTAATTATTTAAAGATGCTTAAGCAAGTCAGTTACCTAAATATGTGTGTGGGGAGGAGGGAAGAAGAATAATGACTATAGGATTTGGCCTAATATTCTTAGCCTGGGTTTTTCAATTTTTACATATATATTACTGTCTTTGTTTACATATATATTACTTACTTTATAGCCTTTCTGCAGTAATTGGTGGATCAGAGAATTGGAATCAGAGAATAAGCTTGAAACCAGATATTAGAAAGCTTTAATAGGACCATTTCTAGTCAGCCATGTGAATACCACAGCTGTGCTAGGGTCAGAGAGACTGTGATGTTTGTCTCCAAGTCTGACAGGAGATCAGTAAATCTGATAATAAATAATAAAGTAAATGCTATGAAACATAGATCACCCTTTAATAACCAGCTACAACTTCATGACTACCAAAGGTATCTACCTATCCTATATTAAATCATATAAACATGTGCTTTTCACATCACCATTTTAACTATTTTTGTTTTCTGCCATGATTATACCCAGATAAGGAACTGTGAAGTCTGCCATGCCATGAGTTCAGCAAGTACTAAGGTAACCCAAGTCTTTGCTGAAAGACATTATTTATTCTATTAATGTTTAATCTGGAGCAACCACTGACCTGCATAATTTGACAGAGATGGGTAAGCTGCTCCCTGAACACCTCTAATGCTCTCATGATTTCTTCATTTTTTAGAAGGAATGTAAACAAATAAACACCAAATGCTGAATTGTGGAAAAAAGGTGTGAAACAAGCCAAAAGTACTTGGTATTGCACATACATTTTCTTGTCTGTTTTTCTGAAATTCCTGGGGTCCTCCCCCCAGTGAGCCCCTGCAAGCACCAAGTTACTCATCCTGAGGCATGGGATGAGGCTTGGTGGGGTTGCCCCTGGTGGTATTTCTCCTGCTCAGCCTTATCCATCTTTTGTGGGCTTTGAATGCTGAGGCAGCTTCTGAGTCTGTTACAGCAGCTCTTTAGGAGCATCATTTGCAGATATTACTCTAAGTACACCAAGATTAGGTTCATTTCTCTGATCTAGAGGTAACTTTGGATATTATCTGAAAAAAATTCTGTGAAGTCATGATCTGTGCTGCTTTGCCTGTCCTTTATCCCAGATGTCTTAATCATCTGGAATTATTTGATTCAGTCTGTGATCTAAAAATGCTCATTTGACCCTTTGTTTCTCATGTCAACCCCCTGCATCTGTCCTTGGAAATTCAGCATCATACCTTCTTCCACTGCAGATACTGGTTCCTTTCTCTGTCAACTGTATGTGGGGGTGATACAAGTATGAGAAAAAAAGAGGAAAAACTGTGTAGCCATGTGGCAAATGGGTTTGTCTTGTCCCTTTGCCCCCAGTCCATCTGATCTCTGCTGCAGGGGTCTCTTCCAGCACCCCACACCAGTGACCTGGGAGCTGCCAATAAAAATTACAACAGGCAAGACCATTTATTTCTATGTCATGTGAAATTCTCACAGATACTAATTGCTCCCTTGCAGGTGCTATGAAAGGAGTAGGATTGTCTCAGGGGCTGTTAAATACAAGCATTTTTATGTCAAGGATATTATTGTATTCTCTCCCATAGGAAAGAGAGAACTTTTTTCAATGCTATTAACACTTAGTTCCCTAAAAGACTGAAATCACAGACTTGAAACCATTATAATGTTTAGCATAAAATAACTAATGTAATTTATAAACAATTTATTGACTTTCAGTGAGGTCTTTAGCAGAAGTCCACATGCCAAAGCATTGTGCAGTGCTTTGCCAAAAATATATTTCAAAAATATCTAAAGAAGATAATGAAATCTTTAAATAGTAAAGATTTAAGAAAAGCTGCATTACTTACAAGTGCTCTGACACTCTTTTGTTATAGATTAAAAGAAAACTCAGTGCTATTTCTTTCTCTATTTCATATACCACATATTACATATATATACTACATAGCACACAAAGTACTGCAATCTCTGCTGCTGCAATCAGGTAAAATTCCTTCCAGGGCAAAGGATCAATGCTCATTTACTAGCTTGGTCTAGCATTGTATCAGAAAATTTTTGCACTGAAAAGTATTGCTAAAAAGGCTGTACAAAACACCTTTGTTTTGCCATTAATATTTCTTTTCTTTCCAGGCTGTCTTAAAAAGCTCAGTCTCTGTGTCCATTTCAAATCAGTGTTCAGACTGCTGGTGTTTCTGGCTTGCTGTCTGAGAAGACAAATATCCAGTGCAGTGGTAGGAGAGCGGCCCCATGGTTTGAAGTTCAATTTTGCTCTGAAGAGCACCAGCCTGTCACCAGCTCTTGCA